CAAACAAATTCCAAATTTCCCTTACCGAACCACCACATCCACACTTTTCCATCCACTGCCAAACAACCTCACACCATCCACCAAATCTCAACTCGCCACACGCTTACCTTCTCCTCCTACCTAATCTTTTCCCAAGTTATCTCTGACTCTGCTCCACCGTCATGGACAAATTCATAGACAAAATGACTTCTAAAAGATCTCAAGGAAAATCACAAAGACTGGCGAAGAAGCCGCATCTCAAAGAACCTACCTTACCTTCAACCCCCGTTCTCTCCCCAACGGACTCAGAGACAGAAGCCCTTCTCCAAGCCACTCCTGTATCACAGCAAGCATCAGAAACAGCACAAGAAGTCTCCAATCTACTTAAAACCGACTTTTGAAACACAATTTAAAGACCTCAAAGGGTCTATCGATAATGCTCTACATCTCCTATAAGCTTACTCATCCCAACTCACACTCTTAGAAACAAGACAAATCACAACAGAAGTAGAGACTTTGCCTCCTTAGAAAATGTTCTCAAACAGGCACACAGACAATACATGACTGACCCCACTGATGACCACAAACAACTATACAAAGAAGTTCAAAATTACCTTAACACATTTGTCACAAACTATGCACAATCGAAATTAGATTTTGAACAACAACACTTCTTTAGGATGGGTGGAAGGTCCGGGAAACTCCTGGCCCACATGGCTAATCCTAGGTCAAACTTAAAACCTATAAGCGCTATCCCCTCACCGGACGGCACTACATGCACGTCTCATGAATTAATTAATACATTGTTTAATGATTACCATAAAAAATTAGCAAAGGCCCCACCTGACAATCATGCCCAGAGCATGAATTTTCTTAAAAGCCTAGCCCTCCCCAACTTGATGAGGAGGCCAGGGAGCTCCTCGGTAAACCTATCACAGAGGAGGAAATACACAAAGCAATCAAAACACTGAAACTTGGGAAGGCCCCTGGCCCAGATGGCTTTAGGGTGGAATACTACAAAACCCTACAACTCCAAATCAGTACCACCCTCAAAAACCTATTTAACCAATTATATCTTGAAGGTCTACCAATAGACACTCTCAATCAGGCCATTCATTCTTTTCCCTAAACCACACAGAGACTCAGAAGCTTTGAGCTCCTATCGACCAATCTCACTACTCAACCAAGATATTAAACTTCTTACTAAAATCATAGCAATGAGAATCCAAACGTTCCTACCTAACTTACTAACTCCCCACCAAAAAGGCTTTGTAAGGGGCAAACAAGTAGTCATGGGGGACCAGAGGGCATTGGCGGCCGTGGCAGCAGTTGCGAGGGGGGCGCCGGGCATGAGAGCACCATTTTTTTTGGACTAGACATAGAGAGGGCATTCGACAGCATCACCTGGCAACATCTGATGTGGGTGTTAAAGTTACAATACTTTGTAAACACTTTTGTAAACTTCATCACAAATCTACAACCTAATCCACTGACTTGTGTAACAACAAATGGCCTCGACTCCCCCTACTTCCCACTAAAAAGGTGGGTGCAATAGGGCTGCCCACTTTCCCCGCTATTATTCAATTTAGCAATTGATCCTTTACTACGAGTCATAGAAACCCTTTAGGGTTTCAGGGGAATTCCAATGGGCAACATCACCTTGAAAGTCTCAGTTTTTGCTGATGACCTCTTGCTCTTCACTACTGATCCGCAGAACTCTCTGCCTCCCTTAGTTGACCTGCTGCACTCATTCCACACCAAGACAGGCCTCAAAATTACCTGGAACAAATCTTATGGCCTCAGCCGATGCCGGATGGAATCCCCTTGAAATGGCAATCACAGGCACTCAAATATCTAGGAATCAAAATTCCTAAAAAAAATCTCCCTCCTATACAAACTAAACATACCTCCCATCTTGGCTAACATTTTCTCAGAGCTTGACCATTGTCATAACTTACCCTTATTCTACATAGGAAGGGCAAATCTATACAAATTAATTAGCTACTACTGTATCCACTTCAAGTCCTCCCCTTGCTACTCTTGTATGGGGAGGACGTGATTTTCATGGCAGGGACGCAAACCACACCTCAGCCTTACAAATCTATACCAATACACCGCTCTAGGGGGACTAAACTTGCCAAATGCTAAGGAATATAGCCTAGCAGCGCAACTTAGACTTGCACTGGATTGGATCCAATCCCAGCATAGGTTTTCAGAGTTGCTGTTGGAGTCCTTCCTGGCGGAGCCAGATTCACTGCCGGCTCTCCTGCACAGGCCACACAACCTCCTCCCAAATAAAATCCTCATGAACCCACTTAAACACACCCCAATCAGGGCCTGGAAACAAGCTCGATCTAAGATAGGAGCTCACACTTTAAAACCCTGCTCGTGCCTTTCACTTGCAACACTAACTTTGCCCCTGGTACCAACTATCTCTTCCCGTTGTGTGCGGACTGGGTTGTCACAGCTCTCCGCTCCTTGGTAGACCACACGGGTCAAAGGTTTTTAACACTGGCGGAGATACGGGAGCGATTCCCGGGCCTTTAAACCCCATGATTTGCCTACCTTCAGGTGCAGCACTACTATCACTCTATCACTCCAACTTTCACAGAAGCGGATTGGGAGAACCCATTAGACACCATGCTGCGCTCCTCAACACGAGCCACTTATTCCACATCTAAACTCTAAATGTTCGTACGGTACACTCCAGACTGGACTGGTCTTCAAACAGGCATGGGAAAATGGAAAACCCACTTCCCTGATATAACTTCGACAGACATCCTGAGGGCACACCAAACCCATACCAAATCCTGCCTATCGTCTCTTACAGAGACATGTTTCTAAAGACCCTACACTATGCCTATTATTCCTCACACAGACTACATCTAATGGCTAGGAAGGACTCAGCGACCTCTTTCAAATGCGCACACACAAGAGCCGACTTATATCACTGTCTGTGGGAGTGCACACTAATACAATCATTTTGGAATGAGGTGAAAACATATCTTACGAATGGGAACATGCCCACACTACCATTGACCCCAGAGTTCTTGCTTTTGGGACCTATCCCGGGTCAAGCCCTAACTAATAAACGATTCCTCCTCATAATAACATCTATTGGATGCAAGGCCAATTTGCAGATCTGGAACTAGCCAAACGCTCCAACGCTACAATTATTTTTATGTAAACTCAAATTTCTTTTCGAAATGGCAACACTAACCAACAAATAAATCCTTGCCAGGAAATTTATCCTGACCTGGAGATCGTATCTCCTTACTCTGGATGACTCCTTTAAAACTAAAGCGAGGAATGCCTTAGAGTACACAGCGTGGTTCTCAGCAGAAGTGGTGGCTGGTCGACGCCCTTTACAAATAACATCTCATTAAAGAACACAGGTAGCTAAAAACAGAAACATACAAGGTTGAATTGGGAGGTCGGGGAACCGAACCGGCACACAGTTCAGTTATTTTGGTTATTATTTTTATTTTTGTTAAGATACATGTCCAGTCCACCACTTCCCAAAAGTGAAACGGACGACATATAAAGTTAATACTTAACCATATTGATGGCCACTCTGTCTAACCTATTCACACATTACTAACCAACGACCCCTAACCAGGCAGAACTACTTATTACACGGTCTGATGCGACACATTGTTGTAGACAGCGATGAGGCAACAATGCCTACATGAACTGAACATTAACTAACCAAAGGAACTAGACGTAACTGTTGCCTCTGCTTAGTTGTATTGTTTTTGGTTCTGATTTTTTTCTTCTTTTTTAAATGTTTTGTTCTTTTTTGTTACCTATGCAAACAGAAAAAGAGAAAAAACAGCGGATGTACAGTTTAGCATATCTAATGTTTAGCGTGTAACTTCAATGAAAGCCCTATTAACAACAACTTTTTTTAGTATTAAGTGGCACAAGTATTAAGTCATGAATCCCATGTCTAGCTAATTAAATATAACATGGTATTCCCACATACAATTAGCTTGCACTTCCTGCTTAATTGCTGCTACCCAGTCAGGACTTCTTCACTCGCATCTTATTTTATTTTAACATTTTTTATTACTAACATGCAAAAATGTGCTGCTGTTCAGGTGTGTTACCTGTTTATACTACACTTGATATCGCTTCTGTGGCGTACTTAGCATATCTGTAATTAATTTAAAAAAACAGTGCTGTTTCTCTAAATGTCATGACCATATTTAATACCGTTTGTTATTGCTGTGCTTGTTACTGCTGTTGTGGCTACACAAGCTCTTTGTAATCATTTGCACAACAAAAATAAAGAATATACAAGAGAAAGGAGACGGAAAGCAAAGAAAGAAAAGACAAGAGAAAGGCCTGTGCCACCCATCTAGAAATAGCTCTTAATACAAAGTAATGCCCAGCAATATAGACTTTGTCTATACCACTAATTTTGTGGGATAATGAAAAAGTGACCAGACAACACATTAATTCAACAAGCTATTGAAGTCTTGCTTTATTTCAAGTTGCAGGTTAAATCTACATTGATTTTGTAATATAGCTAAGCTGGGTCTATCCAAAGTTTGTGGGCCACATCTCAATACTAAGTGACCAACGCATTTCCAAACACAAGGAAATGTAACTCACCCTTTGGATGGCACTGTACTTAGTCATGATATTCCCAATGTACTCCTTCTAATCATAGTGTCTGGCACCTAAAATTCTCTGTTAAAGAGAAATGGAGGTCTCCTTCTCCTTATTATTTTTTTCCATGGCCACCACTTACTCCTCTTCAAATGACCAAGGTTGGAGGCAGATGTTGCCTATTTTTTTTTTTTTTGCCAATGATGGAAACATGATTTTTTTTCTCTTTGTTTTTTGAGATCCTACTGACCTTTGATACAACTATACGGTATGAAAATTATCCATGGCCATGTTATACTTGACAAACCTTAGTTTTGTTTTACTTATGTTGTATTGTTAAATGCAAAAAAGTGAAACTGAAAGCTTCATGTATACTCCTGACTCTGTATCTGTTCCATGACAAACTTCCTGTAGCTGAAACTATGCGTGACATATGTGTTGTATTCAACATTCACAATTACAATGAGTTTAAAAAAAAAAAAAAAATGGATATTCCCTTTCCCCGTGTTCCTTATTAATTTTTGAGTACTTGGCCCCCCCTTTCTTTCTTTCTTTCTTTCTTTCTTTCTTTTAGCAAAATTGCTTTTGAACTTACCAGAATTCCAGCACAAAGACAGACTTCTCACTGCAGCCGGATCTGCCTTCATTGAAGTTATACATGGCAATTGCTGTGATCCAAACCAAATCTTTTTAGAGAGAAGCACTGGATTGCCACTCATCATACAGTAAACAGTAAGAGATATAGGACAGAAATAAAGTGAACCGAGTGATGTAGTCACACTCAAGTTAACCCAGTGGAGTGCTAAAAATACACTTAATAAATAATAAAAATACACTTACTCTAGACACAGTGGGGAATAAGTGATCACTAGGATAAAAATAAATAAAATAAAGTGCAATACAGCAGTGTACAAAGTGCTTGTGTGCGCAATGGGAGTAGGATACCTGCACATAGGGTAGAGCCAACTAGGCATAGGCTTGAATCATATCAGGAGGGGTATGTTATGGAAATACCAAAATCTTTTCTTTCTTTATCTCCAGAAGTACTCGAAAAGGGAGATACAAATAAAAGGCAGAAGCCTAGAGTAATATAGCAGGTACAATTGGCAATTGGAAATACGTATAAAGTGCTGTTGCTGCTCACCTTCTTGATAGCCTATATCAGGC